GTGTTTTTTTTTTCATAAAAAGTCAATCCGCCTCAAACTAGCTATTTTTTGCGTCCGAATATGCCGTATGCCTTATATTAATAACTTCATTTTCTTGAAAATCGTGGTAAATCTGTCACGGACGTAGTATAGTTCTAACAAACAAATACGGCAAGCTGTTAGGTAACAGGTAGTATGTACATACATATCTACCATATCGTGGGTACAACGTATGGATGAGGTGAATTTCTAATTTTCTCTAACTGGCGAGCCTTCGAAAGAGCAACGTTTTTAGATTCGCGCCCAAGCCGGAAGGATGGTTATAAGTAATGACAATAAAACAAAATTTAGCTTTCTTCGAAAATTCAATTGTGCTCCCTTTTGAATATAACCAAAAGCTGTAATTTTATCGAGAGTATCTTCAAATCATAAGATCGGTGAAAAGGTACAAAAATTGTTCCTACTTTTCCATCACTGTATGAAATGTATTTTAGAATTTTTAACATTTCTCGTTTGAGAAAATTCCCTAATCCAAGAAGAATGTATTCAATGTTGTTAATTAAATTTCAGTGTGTGTCTAATTAAATGTAATAGAAAGATAAAGTAATTTACTTTTCAGAAGTACTAACACCAATGTTGTTGTTGTTCGTGTGCCTGAAATTATCAATATTTTTGTATCGCTCACGCACTCCTCTCTATCGCTATTTCTCTCTTTTAAAATAAGGTTTACTTTGCCTAGTTAGATTTTAATTTCTTATTTTTTACTTATGTACTTTAAAAGCGTTTTAATTTTTCTAATAAAATTTTAAGTATGTATTTTTGTGTATATTTCGGTGTTAAAACAAAAAACTAAAATAGGGCACTCCTAAGGAGGCTGGAGAGATTTTTTTTTTTTAGAAAAAATATTTCCATGGGCTACAGACGTTTTTTTTTTTGCTATAAAATAAGTTGCGTGGATTAATTATGATCAAATTTTAAACATAAAAAATTTAGTTTGCAATTATAAAATATAAAGCGGTATTCACACTACAGTTACATAGTTAGCCAATATGTAATTTTACTCGAGCAATAAAAATGGAACAAAGACATTAAATAAATTGTATAATTGCGCGCTATTGTGAACGCTTCTATTAATTAAAATTATAACTTGATTTATTATTTTACGTTTTTGTGTTACCTAAATGGCATTCTCATTCTAAACGACGAAAATTGAAGAAGGAATGCATTACAAAATATCCAATCACCGACGAATTGTTCAAATGGAATGAGTCTGTTCCTTGAATTCAGAAGTGATATTACCTACGGTGATTGCGTGTGCGCTTATTGGTTTTTGAAAAAAAAATTTTAATCGATTCTCTAATTAAATATTGTGTATATTGGAAGCCAATCATAGGCAAAGAATTATATACGAAAAATGCGAAATCTCTGGAATACTCAATTTGGAGTACCATTTGATTACAATTTTTTTTTTTTTTTGAGAAGTTGAAGGAAGTTATGTGAAACCTTTGGTGGATACAAAATTACGATGAACAATTTTTATTATTTTTCCGTTCCCAAAGAGGTTCATGTTATAGAAAGTTACTGTTTTTATTTTCTTTATAATTTTATTTATTATATCGTCATTTGCGGTTAGAATATATAAGTTTCTTAATATCATGCACAGTTTCGTTTCCACACTTACAAACGATGCTCTGAGTTTGAATTATTTAGTTGAATTCACTTACACATGACCTGCTCTTTACATACCACAATTTGTGCCTTACCCTCAGACTGCATTACACTTACTTAAATGCCACAAATTATTTTAGAATCGTTACTTTGTTTTTTGTTCAACCTTCTATTGAGCCGACTTGTTTTTGTTTCTTAAATGAAACTTTAATTAAATGCTTAGTTTAGCTTATTTTTTTCAGTAAATTTTTTTTAGAACAAAATTTCCTAGCTTGAATTTATTGCTCTAGTTAATAAATATGCTGACTTGAAAATACATATACGACCATCAAATAAAAAAAAAAAACTACTATAATACTCAAAAAATGCATACATATATTTATATACATACTTAGTTAATATCTATCATAAATATACATATATACATAACTTATTACATATTAAATTATTATACCAATTGTAGCTAATCGTTGTTGTTTGCATTATTAGTTATTTTAGTCTAGACCTCCTTATAAACTTGTAATACTTGTGTTTTTTTCATACATTCATACATGCATACATACATATATACTTACTGCTATTAAGCCGTTTACAGACCTATGTGAGTCCATATGTATGTATGTATAAGTATGCACTACGTTGAGGGTTGATATCGTGAATGTCAAAGTTACTTAAATATGTGATGGGACTTTAGATACAAGTCTAAACAATTTCGCTTGAACATGGAATATAATTGTTTTGCCTCAGATTCAAATCCTACTTATAGGATTTGTTTCTATCTAGAGTACTTGAAATTTTTTCAAACAAATTTCTGTACATAAAGGATGGATTTCAAACAAAAAATTTAAGCAGGGATAAGACAATGCTTTTTTTTTTGTCCAATTTTCCAGAATTCGATCCGAAGTCGTGCATCTACAAACATTTATAATATCGTCAGTAAAATCTTGCTGACTAGATATGACTTTTTTCGGACTAAATCCTGAAGTACTACTATATACTATGTTTGTTTGGGGATGATAATCAAAAAGGCTTAAAAGCCAGGACAAATAAAAATCTTTAGCTGAACCTTTTTAAATACGAATCCGAACCCCGGGCTAATTGTCAATAATCATTCACTTAAAAATTAACCTTTTCAACAATTAATAAATCGACTATGAGGTTATGTGAAAAGTCTGACGTGTTGTCAACAATAAGTTTCAACCAAATTCGTACGTACCAAATTGCTTAATCTTTGCAAAAAAAGAATGATCATAATAAATGGATTAATATTTATCATCTAATCATATATCGCGAAGTCGAGTTACATTGGGCCTCCGCACACTAGATTGCTCAGTCTTTGAGTAATCCAACACTCATCTGCGAAAAGGGAATCGATAAATGGACGAAAATCCACATTTCATCCACTCTTCTTTCCGTTTTCGGATCCATTTTCGGATTTTTTGCGGGCTGGGTGTTGTCCGTGTGTGTGTGGCATTCCAGCGTCAATTCGTGATTTTCGAGGTTAACTCGTCCACTCTTCCCCCATACCCATATAAAAATGGATCTTGGCCGCCCGACCAGGCCAGTGTGCGGAGGCCCCTTATCATTTTCAGAGATATTTTCAAGTTGTCAGTCTATAAAGGCCGTTCACTGAATTTCTGTTTAAACTTAATTAGAAGAAGTTTCAATTAATTATTGATTAGTGTGGCCCAGAGTGTATAATCAAATTTTTTGTAAAACTACCACCTCTAGTCTTCTTGTCTGGCAGTAAAATTTAGATACCCATTTTTCGTTTATAAAAAAAAAAGTACTCAAAAATATGCAAATTTTTAACTTTATTCAGACAGAAATATTCGCATTGTTCAAACTCACCCAAAGTCAAAGTTGGTAGGTCCAATCCCATATTCGTCGGACTAAAACTAGTAAAACTGTCAAAAACTCGCTCAGAGCGAGAGAGTAACACTGAAAAGTATGGAATCGCTTTCTAGTATGAAAATGGTGGCTTCCGAAAACTTCAACATAAGCTCCAAATTTTGGTTTTAAAAATTTGCTTATTTTGTATGTAAACACACTCAGCTCACACATGTAAATAACCAAAAATACTTTCAAATTAACTAGAATCCACTTAAACAAGTAATTAAATACTTTTCAACGTGCATTAGCAGAGTGAACTTTTCCTTTGTTTACAATTTGGATGTCAAACACACAGCGAATGATCGCACCTTATTTACTCCTGACCTCATTTACTCTCTTTGTTGTCCTCTCAGTAGTCAGAGAATCGAGTACGGGATCGATTTTCAGTAAAATCTGACTACTTCTGACTATTCTGGGCTCATAAGAGATCGCAACTAGTAAAAACGGCTGTCAGTTCAAGCTATCGAACGGCTAAACAACCGCCGATTAAAGACAATGTTAATCATACATTTGGCAAACGGATCCTATGTTTCGTGGCCTCACAAAACTGTCTCAAAGCAAGCAAGGAAAATATTCTCCACTATTCGCCAGCTTCATTTTGCTGGTGTCCTCACTGATAAAGTGTCATCTTAAATTGCTAGATTCGGTTTGATGCTTTGTCTTGGGAAATACTAGTACCGGAATACATAGTTGCCTGTTGTGAATGCATCCGCAATATGATATTGAACTTAAGTGCTCTTTAAACTTCTTCTGTGTACCTTTTCTGGATTTTTTTTTTTCACAGTTGCTGTTGTCGCTGTAAATGCATGAGTCATTTCTGAGAGCTTGTAAACCATTTGAAATGCTGGCGCTCTTCATCTGTATAGCTTTGCTAGTGAATTGTGTTTGGTTCTCAGATTCCTAAGATTGAAATATAAATGCAATATTTATATATTTTTATTTAAGTATACTACTTTCTTTAAACAAATATCCCCAGGCACAGCATTTACTTATGTATGTAGAGATTTTCGTACGCGCTTTTTTTTTCGTTAAAATGCTTCTAGCTTTTTGAAATCGTTCAGATGCTTTGAGTTTACCGTATTTTCAATTGACTTGGCACAAATACCATTTTCTCCTTTTACAAATTACATCACCGCCGATTTTCCTTCATTCCTTTGAGTTCGCTACTTAAGTTCACAACCCATATTCGATCCCTCCTCAATGCGTTTTGCGTTCAGTTTGCGCTTCACCTATCCACGTATTCAATTATATTCCATGCCGATCGTACGTTTGTTTGTTTGTAGTTTCTTACCTTACATCCACAATCAAAACTGCTAGCGCAAGCTAATTATTCCAAATTAAAAAGTACCCGCGAGTAGGTGCTAAATACTACTTCAAATTCCACCAAAAGTTTAATTCAGTCAAAATCCCCAACTCTGAAAGTGTTAGGTGACTGCATAATTCCAAAACTGTGATTACAGGTGATGATGATGATGATGATGATGGTGTTGGTGGCAGAGACATGCGCGATGACGTTAATGCAAACGACGATGTTGTTAATGACAGAGAAGGCGGCGATGTCGGCAATGCCAATGATGATTATATAGATACCGATGATGGCGAGGATGACGTACTGGCTGGTGCTGACGTACGCCGCCGCATTGTGTACCATCACAATCGAAGGCATGCGATTCGAGCAACTGGGGCCTTGGAAAATCGGCATCATGTTGCCGATAACATTAATTTGGTTAACGAAAATCGTTCGCACGATCTATGCGGCGAAGAGGATTATGACTACGAAAATGATTGCCATAGCGATTGCGATCATAAAATTTTGGACAGCAACTATAAATGCCACTACAAGCGATGCAAGCAAGAGGCGGCAATGCGCACTCAACAGGCACACCCACAGTTGCAACAGCAACATTTGCATGCGCAACACTATCACCAACAACATGCTGCTGAGATAATGTTGCACGCGCGCAACGGTCCGTTGAATGATGCTATTAGTCTCACAACGGCAGCTGCGGCGCCTCCACCCCCACCCCTGCCAGCGGCACCCGCACAATTGGCAGTCGCACACCGTCACTTGCATCCACAAACCGTTATAAATCTTGGGCGCTGCAGCAGCGCTCTGGATGCGCTTTGCTCCGTAGAAGCCGCTGCTGCAGCGGCCGTTGCTGCGCTCTCACCAGCCTCCTCGAATGCCTCAACAGCATCCGCAACGCTACATCACCAACAACAATTGGCATATGCACAGCAGCAACATGCTGCTGCAGCTAACTATCAACAGCAACAACATAACCACCACCAACACCAACAGCAGCAGCAAACTTTGGCAGCAGCTGCCAACTTAGTGCAACACCATCATTTGCAACAGCACCAACAACTACAACAACCGCAACATGCGCCTCACTTCCACACCACGCCACCAAGTGCTAGCACGCCGCCTAGCCACAACAACAACGTACAACTGCAACTCGTTGCAGCGGCGAATGCCAATTCACCCAACGCCACCAACACCCCGACTTCGGCGGGTGCATCAGCAGCAGCAGCGGCGGCGGCGGCGGCGGCGGCAGCAGCTGCTGCTGCTGCTAATCGTCGCGATCACAACATCGACTACTCAACGCTTTTCGTGCAATTGTCCGGCACGCTGCCCACGCTGTATCGCTGCGTCAGCTGCAATAAGATAGTGTCGAACCGTTGGCATCACGCCAACATACATCGGCCTCAGAGTCATGAGTGTCCTGTCTGCGGGCAAAAGTTTACGCGTCGAGACAATATGAAAGCCCATTGTAAAATAAAACACGCAGATATAAAAGATCGTTTCTTCAGTCATTATGTACATATGTGATCAATTCTTTATGTGGTCAAATAAATAGTTAAAATTAATCACTCGCGCCTCGAGCCACTTACCCACACACACACACAGACACACACACACAGGGGCACAGTTCTTCCATTAGACCGAATTCACTTAAAATAGTATTTATTTCCACTCTATATTCTTCAAGCTTATGTAGGTACAAAGTGTCTCACTATTACGGTTGGCAACTCTATGCCCAGCATACTTCTACGCGATTGTCGTGAATGTTGTGAAGAAAAGACGAATCTCCGAATCAGGTCACATTTTCGATTAAAAGTAAACATTAAATAAATATAAATTGTTGCATACTTTTGAGTGCCACAACAACAAAACTGAAGATTAATTCTGTAGAACAGAGGTTATCATTGGGCTTTAGCTTGAAAACATAAAAATTGTCCAACCCACTTACATAATGGTTTTAATCTTTTAAACACCAAAAATCGGCAGACTAACGGCCCTGTTCCTTACATCAAAGACAAATGTTATTCCATGACTATTTAAGTTACTACTGCGCCTAAAACTATGCCGCATAAACTTTATTGAAGCGCAATAATCAGACAGCCGATCGAAAATTTGTTTTGCAATTGTTTTTTTGGTATATTTTAAAATATAGATATTTTTAGTTTCGTCCTTAAAATGGAGTATTCGAACGGTAGTATCTTCTGCAAAACGGCATGGATTTTTTTCTTTATTTTTATTATGGTTCAGTTATTTAAGCTCGCATGCAAAAAAAAAACTCTTGAAAATTTAAAGTTTAATAATTAATTATTTACAAATTGAATTTTGTTTAATAGATTTTTTCGAACATTATAGGCATTTTTTATTTTAGTATTTACAGGGGCTTGAAAACCGTTGGCATTAATAAAAAATCGAAGATTTGACGGAATCATACTCTTAATAAAAACCCGAAGATAATAGGGAAACTATTTATAAAAAATTTCAGTCCATTTCAATTGTATTTCAATTTTACAATTTATTTGAAAATTTTCAATCCATTTTTTTCCCAAGCAACTTTTTTTGTTCGAACGGTAATAACTTCTGCAAAAACTAATGGATTTGAAGGAATTTTTTTTTTTCTTTTTTAGGGCTACAGTTCAGTTAACTAAGCTTCTATGCAAAAATAAGTACGTGAAAATTTGAATATTACATAATATTTAATTCAATAATTTTAACTTTTTTCCAAAATTGTTCGACATTTCCATTTTACATATGAAGTTTTTAGGTACAACAAAAAGTGTGATTAATGAACAATATTATATGTTAGTGTGGACATGCTGAAATTCACTTTTTCCAAGATATGAATTTATAAAACAAATTGTTACAAAACACATTTTCGATCAGGTCGGCGGTCCGATCTGAATGGTCTAATTACAATCACTCTGCTGCATTTGAGCGATGGCCTAGGTTAGACTTGCGAAACTTGAGAAACTCCCCAAGAAAAAGTCTAGCGATGTCAATAACACCTGGTCAACTTCGTGTGTATTAGCACCGCTATACGATGGCGATTTCGAAAAATGAAATTGCTGCCAAAATCGGGATCGTCTTCTTATCACTCCGAAGCCCAGTCTGTCAACACACTGCATTGTCTATTGTCATCAATAGATTGCGGTTGTTTGGGGTTATTTGTCTACATAAAAATCCGCAGTCTAGTCAACAACTTTCAGCACCTGGGTCAATTCGATCTTGTACGGGTATAAGCCCAAGTCCTGACGCAAAACTCGCGAAGTTCAAATCTGTGAAAGGACGAGTTTTTCTGCGCGAAGTGGAATCAAGGCGATGTTTTCGGCCGTTCTGACGTTCTTTTAACCAAACCGGTCGTCTCAAATTCAGCCATTAAAAATTGGGGGTCACTCTCCATTGCCGACTGTACCTTAGAATGAGCGCAACGCTCGCAACGTTTTCACTAACGAATACTTGTTGTGATAATAAAATTGCACCAGTTGGACGTGCTGCTCTATCTTGTCACTTGCAATGAGGATTTGGCAACAGTGACTGAAAAATAAATCATAGGTTAGACAGGTTTCACGAAAACTACATCATCGCCAGAGGGCGCAGGAATCTACGCGCGCCAATTTAAAAGCGCTTTAATTGGACAATTCACAAAGGTGGCGTAAGTGTTGTATTGCTGCTTGTCGTAAACTTTTGATCGGTTGAAAATAGTTTCAGGGATTCTCAATATATCATAAGACTCCTATTAAATATTTTCTCACTATCAAAAATAGTTTATTGTGGTTTCGAGCTCTCTAAAAATTGTTATTAATTTTTAATCGTTAAAAACTTTACGGCATGAGACTATATGAAACATTACGAATTATTGTAAATTTTTCACAAAGCTATGGTTGAGTTGCCTACCATAATAATGACATTAATAGCGTTTTCTTTCCTACAAAAAGTGTTGCCTTTTCATTGCCCTCTCCTTAGTATTTAGTGCGAAGAAGGCACTGAGAAGGCAACATTTTTCGGTAGAAAAGAGAACGCCATAAGTTTTATTCACACTATACCAATCAACACATTGACACATGTACAAGTATAACTAGTACATTTTAATCTTATACCAAACAAAAAATTAAGATATCTTTAAATTTTTCCTCGTAGCTAAATAGAATTTATGAACGTATGTATTTATGAAACGTAGTTGTAAATCTTCGAAGCCAGCGAAACACCAAAGAAATCACTAAATGATATAACATAAAATGAATATAAAAATGTAATAATAATGACTTTACAAGTAACTGTTAAAAAAAAAGGTCAGTATATCTAGTATTTAAAAGTTTAAACGAGCAAGCGATTTTAACAAAACAAAAAACCAAACAAAGTACGAGTATTAACCCACCCGGGCAAATTGTGGATTCTGTAGTAGACTGTAGTATTGCATATTTACCAATAGTATTTTTTTTTTTTTTTATTAATGTCAAGGTATTGAGATGAAATGAAAATTCGAAAAATTACACCAAAACAAAGATATTTATGTTTAGTGAAATTTATTTATTTATAATATTTTATATTATCTATTTTATGTAGTCACCACCAGCCAAAGAAAAGTTAAAAAAAATTGCGAAGCAAATACAAAAATGTTTGCAATTTATTGTAGTATTTTTTACCCTTGTTTACAAAACATACATTTGCAACGTGAGAACAAGTATTATTCTAGGAATTCCAAATAACAAACACGATAAGTTATATAACACTTCAAGTAGTGAATCAAGATTAACACACTTTTAAGTCCTGCCATGTTAAATTTTTAGTGAGTTAATTACAATTCGAACGTTCATACAATTTCAAAGATATTTTAAGGCGAATTTTACGAAGAATAGTATGTCAGTTCAAACATACATATCGCTGGCTTAGAGTGAAAAGTTGCTAAGTGCACTTATTATGAAAACTCATATTTAGATATAGGAGGCTATAGAAATTAAAAATGCATTGTTTCGAAAAGGACAAAGGTGCTTGTTTTATTTATGCTTTTTTTTATTCAATCAATGGACGATTTTTTAAGTCCAAAATAGTAT